GCGGATTTGGTGGGGTCATAGTACAAGTGAGACAGATGGCATAGTACGTGGATGTGTTCTCTTAAGAATAAGCCGGATCAGTGATCGGAAGGTCGAAGTATAACACGGAGAAGGGATGCCGGAGACAAGTCCCTCGACGAAATTTCCATCGCTCATCAACCTCGAACTCCGGATTGTTGTCACGACATCAACAAGTTGTCTGGCACGGCATAGGTAGGGTTGTCTTGCATCCGCCCAGCGTGTTGGCCCGAACTGGGGAACTTCAAGACACCCCATCAAAGTCGAGGTCGTGATGCGCAAGTCACGATACGGCCGCCCACACCCTCAAACCAATTCTCATGCCAGTGCAGTCGCCCAAGACACCTTCCGATTTCCCTCCTTCTCATTTCGGTTTCGACAATCGCAAGTAAGGTATGTCGGGCCAGAAATCTTCTATCCTTGGCACGGTCTGAAGTCGCGGCACCTAGTAAGTGGTATGTGACAGTACTAGGTAGGTAGGTATCTTTGCCGATTTCTTCATTCTTCGCTAGGCGCTACGGACCAGCCAATGCAGCCATGTCATTGCCAGGGCGGAAGCGGGCCGCAGTTACGTCACGGGACATAGAATGGAGCCAGCCAGCCACATAGAAACCCGGTTACCCGGCCGAGTCCGGCTGCGGCGGGAAGCGTGAGGTCATTCCCTAGAGCAGAGAGGCAGAGATGGTGCTCTTCGGCGTCGATTACAGCCCCTCGAGCATTGACGTGGATGTGACTGATCAAATTGAAGGCTCCTGGCACCAAGAGGATGGGATTGTCTCCGGCAACTCCGCGGCAACATTGAATACATCTATGTACGTGGTCATAGGTTGATCTTTGCAGAATCTTCTGGCCTCCGTCGGTCTGCTGTATGGTATCCCGAAGAATCGAAGATGCCCAAGCCCATCTGTGTGTGGCCGCCGTTGCGCTTGGTAAAAACATCTACTGTACCACAGTACCACAGTAGACCAGTAGGACTCTCCCGAGGCAGCAATATCCTGGCGCGAGAGAGTTTCTTGGCAAGGCAATAATTCCAGATGATTGCGACAAGTTTCTGGGCACGCCGCACTAATTAGCGAACTGATGCTGGCCAGTGGCCACCGACAGACACGCTCGCATCGCATACTGGGAGGTCTATTGGACAGCGGTGGGCTCTCCA